AAAAAGAAATTGAAACTTATGATAATAACTAAGCTCGATTGTTTTGTTGCTGAGAATCATACAAAAAGAAACTAATAATTAATAAAAAATTATTTTTAAGCGATTCAAATCCGAGCTACTAACGCCATCACATCGGTGAAATACGGTGAACTGGAGGCCAGAGCTGGATTAAAGATGTCAGTAGCGAACAGAGGTAAAATTACCATCGCGGTAAAAGCGGTTGCTGCTGCACATATATTTTCATCATAAATAACAATAAAATTAAAAAAAAACTTTTAATCGTATACGATGTTAACACGTTAAGATAAACTACTACAATTAAAAAATTATTACTTTTTGTAATATAAACTGTTGCCTATAATCTATTTGTTAAGTTTTATCCGTACAATTAATATATTATTATTAAATTGATTATTTCGAAAAGAGGCAAATATATTTGAAAATATCTCTTTTGTATGTAATAATGTAAAATCTCAAAAATAATATTTTACAAGTACTGTAATACTATAATAAGTCATTTGTGAACAAGTCGTTCGATAATAAGTCGAATCAAAAACATGCTAAAAATTATTGCATTTCCTACATTTCAATTTTCGTCAAATAAACATTTATTTCCTCTTTATATCTTATTGGAATAACCAGTTTTATAGAAATATTAATATAAAAACATAGTTTAAATGCATTTGTCATTTTAGTGGAAATATAAAAATCTTTTCAAAATTTTTTAAATTATTAAAAATCAAAATTAAATTTTAATTTGTAATACGTTGTAACAAAAAAAAATATAAAGTATTATTTAATTAATGCATCAAAATGTTTTAATTTTATATCGTTTAACGTTGTACTTGTAATTTAATTAAACCATGCAATACAAAATAATAATAATTCATCCAATTTTATCAGATAATATGTATATATCTCATCATTCGAGTTATAAAATTATTTTCTTTAACTTGCTATAATTTTACAGTTATTATTACGTTATTATCGAAACAAATTATTATACTCCGCAAATTGCCTCCAGATTGAATCTCTGCCAATGGAACTTCATGCTAAAAATCGTGCAATAGAATGCTATGTAGGGAACACGTACGAACCGTTTGCTAGAGAGTTAAAATAAAAAACAATTTATTAACGACATAATTACAATAGTATATTCTGCGTGTGGAAAGCAATATCTCTTTTTTTTTATACATCGTTTTTTATTTTATCTCGGACCGTTCGACAATAATTCCTCGATTTAATCACAAGCCTACTATAAAATATCCGCATTTGATATACCTCGTTCGTCGTGCGTCCGCGTGTATGGTTCGCGTTCTTGTCTTCCCTCTCTGTCTCCAAAACAGAATTAACTGACGATTTGTATGTAATTGTTTTTACATAATTGCGAATCTTATACGACAAATGTCACATACAATGAAACGGCCGAACATCGTGTTGTATAAATTTGTTTGACGAAATCTATTCTCGTACAATCGACTGCAATAATGCGCTCGCCTTTATATGTATAGTATGTTGAAACTAAGAAATAGACTCCTGAAACTTTTTAAAGAGAAAATAGTACGATAATGTAATTTAAGAAAATAATTTATAGCGCAATAATTTAAATATTGGATTTAACAACTGATAAATTGACAAATTAATGATATATTAATAATTAATAATAAAAAATAATAAAAATTATTATTATTATTAAAAATTTACATATATTTTTCCATTTTTATCAAAGAACTAGCAGTGTGAGTGATTAAGTGCTTTTTATGAGGAATAAATAAACGTTTTTTTTTTTCAAAAATTAATCATTTATAAATTAAATGTATTCATATTAATAGCATCCAAGACATATATACGAGTACCTAAAACATTGTCAGAAGCTAGGACTATTTCTCTTCTTATCTTTTTCATAATAAAGATTTAAGAATTCAAGGTAAGCATTATAGTAATCATTGTACTCGTTTTGTATGTAATTGTTCTTACATAATCGCGAATTTTATACGACAAATGTCACATACAACGGAACGGCCGGACATCGTGTTGTATAAATTTATATGATGAAATCTATCTTTGTACAAATCGACTGCAATAATGCGCTTGCTTTTATATGTTGAAATTTTTATCGTGGGTGTTATCTAGTCACCGTAACTTATGATGCGCGGGACTGGCCATATCTAATAGTTTATTATCACTATGCTTGAACAGGATTAATCATGGAGAGTTTCTACCTAATAACGCTATACGGATTAATCATGAAGAGTTTCTATCTAATAACGCTAAGTCCGGCTATAAAATTTAGCTAAATCACTGTACAAAACAAAATGAATTAAGCCGCGTTGGTATGGAACATTCGCGCAGTTACAGTGACAGATAACACTTGTACCTCCAAAGAATTTGGTTCACACGATTGTCGCAACACGTACTCGCTTCCGTTATCCTCGAGTGAAAATGTGTTAATATTATTTCGGTTCCTCAATGCGCATCAGGATGATTCAAATGACTCACACGCGACCTAACGGTTTATATAGAATACGGATGAGACGTAACGAAACATAATAATAAAACAGAATAAAGTATAAAGAAAAGATAAAATACTGGCAATGATATCGCTTCTTCAGACGTCAAATTTTTATGTTAGATACAAGCTATATCAGATATAATTCTAATGTTTTTTCTAGCTATATTTACAGTCATTGTAATTCAAATAAACAGTTATTTAATATATAATATTTAATATTTATAATATGAGTGACTTAGCATAAATTACAAATATTTAAATCGTAATTTCGAATTTTTTGAATTTTTTCTTTGCTTCCTTTTGAACCTTTTCTTATGTATAATTGTATTATATTACAATATTTCAGGAACGAGAACGCATTTTCTTAAGTTTCGTATGCCTCAATCCGTAGTTCTAGATTTCGCGCGTTGTAAAATGATAAGTGCAACAAAATATTTATCCAAGAGCACTTTGCACAAATCGTTATTTCGCGCACGGAGCAATCGAAGGATCATCATCGCGCACAACATAGTTCTTCCTCCTTAAGCCTGAATGAGTAATATACAGGATGCAATAGATTCCACGATAAATAACTCATTTAAGAAATAAATGTTTTTATATCATTAGATCAGTCACATTAATTTTTTAGACGCTTGTGCTCGACTCGAAATAGTTGAGCTATCGTTCACGATATAATTTCAATAAAGCGATAATTAGGTTTTTTTTATCGCGTATTTGTTTAAATTGCATATATAAAACATTTTTGCTTTATTCATGATTTTTATAGACATATTGACATTCAATTATTTAGTTAATTACTAATTTTTTTAATTATTTATTTTTTAGTGGAAAGTTAACGATTCGTTTTTATGAAAGAACTTTTCGTTTTTCTTTCGACATATTTTAGCAAAAAATCTTTCTAAATAATTTTACAGTGCAGATTTTAACCGGTAATCTCGGTATTTGTAATTTTAAATCATTACTCATCCAAGCTTAAAATATTGATTAAACAAGCGAAGAAACGATCCCTCTCAATATTAAAACATGTAGAAGTAATTGGTTCACATTGCTGTACGCGATCAATATACGTGCGTGTGCGTGTGATTATCGTATATTACATAATTCGAGAATCTTACATATCGCAACAGAAAGGAATCATATGATCGAAAAGATGACAGCTATGACAAGAGAGATAGAAGACGCGTAGGAAGCGGAACCTTCGGACGTGTAATTATCGAGAACGTCATCGGAAGCGGTTCCTATTCGACAAGAGAAAAGAAAAAAAATAAAGAGACTCCTTGCCGAAGAAAAAGTAACTTAATACCTAATTAGTACGAATTAGCTAGGAGAGATCTATCGCGGTTTCTTTCTTTAAATTAACCGTAAAATTAACAACTAATCAGTATTCGTACAATGATAAGAACACTAGCGTAAACACGAGCAAAAACGTGAGATTGGATGATATACCGTACGTTTAACACACCCGTAATACGATTCATCATGCGCGATATACAATAATAAAAAGTCGAGGATGGCAGTACAGCGGTAACCAATTAAACATCGGAGCTCAAACTGCCTTGCTCTTAATAATATTTAGTTGCCTCGTCAGTATTTACAGTGTACATCGACAATCAATACCGTTAAGTCTACTTAGAGATTTCCCTCTCATATGTCCTCAGAATTGTTTTACATCAAATGTGTAGTAGCTCGATACGTGCGTACATACATTTCGTCACCATCCCGTTACATAATACATTCGTTCCCTCTCTCGCTTCCAGAAAAAGAAGAGAAAAAAATGTACACCCACCTGACTTCGAATTCAGAGCACACCTATAATTCAACACCTAAATTTAGCGCATATTACACTTCCTTTCTCTCTTCGCTAAAAGGTATCTCTATGTATATATACTTTTTTACATATATACTTATATATATATATATATATATATATATATATATATATATAAAAATAAAA